TAAAATGTTAGTATTTCCCTAAATTCTCCTTCTCAGTGATAGAGAGTGAACATCTGGATATAATATACTGAGATACTCCAGTGACCATCTTCAGATTTTGCATCTTGATTATAAGTATAGCATTCATCTTGACCTTGGCCAATGAGCAAAATCCGTGCTTGTGCGCTTTGTACCGTTGTGTGTATGTGGTAGCCTGTGGAAGCCTGTAAAAGTGCATGTATGCGTTCCTAGCAGTCTGTAAAAACAAAACAAAACAGAACAAAAGAAGTGTGCTACGGAAATGAGGAAGGGGCGACAGAAATGACTCTAGTTTTGCTAAGATACTCGAGCAGCTGGGCTCAGAGAAGAGTTACCAAAAGGCAGGATAGAAGTCTGTGCCCGAGCAAGGTCGGCGTCACAATGCGCCCGGGAGGGAGCCGCTACACTGAAACCCAGCTCCACCGTTTGCACCGGAATTCCGCTGGACCTTCTGGTTCTTTCCAACCCAAAGGTTCTGTTTCTCTAGTTTGGACTTTGCCCGATGTTGGGAGGGGTCCCGCGGCCCTCGGAGGCCCCCTCCTTGTGGCTCCGGGAGCGCGCAGCGCTCGGGACTCCGCACGCACAGGCGCGTTGGTTCTCAGATCAGCCACCGCGGGCACGCCTTGCCCCCTAGTCTAGAGCCTTGGGCGGCGCCGGTCTTGGCGTCGGAGCGGGCTAAGGGAGGGCTCCAAGCGGGCAGCATCCGGAGTCGACCCAGAGGCAGAAGAGACTCCCAGGGGTACAAGGTCGCGGTGACGCTAGGTAGTTTGCCTTCCTTGGTCGAGGGTAGGAGGATGATGTTTGTTTCTAGATCTGCTCTGGTTTCTTCCTGTATTAGGATTACGTTCCGGGGTTGCTAGACAGTGCCCCAGGGCCATAGGGCTACATTTTGAGATATCCGCGCAAGAAGGCAGAGGCCTAGACCTCTTAAGAGTTGTTTGGTGTTGGTGGGCATGAGCCCATCTCTTTCTCTTCTGGGGCTTTCCCCCTCACCTTGGCAAAGAGGTGGGTAGGGCTAACTTCTTACACTCAAGAAATTAATTTAAAATTTCTCACGCTAGAAGCGAACGCAAATTTTCAGAACACGTGGGAGGCACCTGCAGTTCCAGTTCACGCCCCTCGCTGGCCTGAGGCTCTTGCAGGGCGGGCGGGAGGGGTCGCCGGGAGGGTGTGAGGCCGGGTCCCTGCGCCCTGGCGGGGGAGGGCGAGCAGGAGCCGCATTCCGGCTTCAGCCTAGGTTCAAAGATTAGAAAAACAGGTGTTACGTCGCCATGCTAATTCACTCACTCGGTAAACGCGGCTCAGACAGTTGTGTGCGGAGGACTTAGCGAGGAGGCCGGCACCACATGGCCGTGCATTCACTTCGTTTATTAAACATCTACTCGGTTCATCGACTTCTGAGCTTCTCTGGGACCCTGGGACAGCCCGCTTGGCCCCCAAGGACGTTATGTTTGGTGTGAAAACTTGCACACTCATTTTATCCATTTTGCTTCTGAAGGCAAAATACTGCCTTTCTTCCAGTGAAACGCGCTGTGTATAGGAAGCCGGCACCTCCTGACTCCCCCGCGCTTCTCTGCGGTGCGCAAGGGTTTCAGACCTTTATGAAGCACTAACACACCTGCACACTGTTTGAAGGGCGGGTAGGGTTTACAGGAACCAGTAACTTAACCGAAATTGTCTCCAGAATACAGTCGGAATAGGAACTGCTTCTTACCCTTAAAGTGCCATGGCTGCGCCTGGCCGCTCCATCTTACCAGTAAGATCTGTCCAGATTGAGGGTCGGGGGTAGAAGGGTCGCGGAAGGGGTTTTTTCATCCTCCGCAAACACGCACCTTTTCTATCTACATGCAGTGGTTAACTTCATTTTATCTTGTCTTTCTGGAATGTCGTGTATAAGAGAGCCACAGTACCTCTCTCTGTATTCTTCCTCCTCTCTTGCTAGGAGCTTATCACTAGGTAGAGGGAACCCTCGCAGGGCCAGCTCTCTAAGTGGCTACAGCCTCCGAAGAAATAACTCCTTCTAAATTAGAGCCCATTAACTAGATTCCAGTTTTGAAACACCTATAAAATCTGTATGTTTACTATTTCCTTATTCTTTCTATCCATTCACCTCTTCTAGCCAGGTGTTTCCCAGATGTGTAAATATCTCCAGAAAGCTCCCGTTGTCGTCCTGCGAGCTTACTGCCATCGGGCGGCAAGGAGGTGGCAGATGTCTGCATTTCTGAACAAACACTCTTAAAGTTGTTCCGAATATCAGAAAAAATGGCACCTACCCTTCTTCAGAGTATGTGTTTTCTCGGCGGCAATTACTGCCACAAACGAGAGGACGAGTGCAACATTATTGGTGTTCTTACTGTCTTTTGTCACCGATGAAACAACTGCCCCCAAGTGTACCCACGGGAGAAGAACCGTGGTCACCATCAGCACCAAAAAACAACAACAAAAAAAACAAACAAAAAAAAAAAAAAAGCGGGGAATCGCATGTGTAGGGAGTGATTCCAAACAGAAGTCATTATTTGGGGAGGGGGGAGCAAATAAACTTTCCCCCTTTTCTAGGTGTTGTCTTTCCTCAGATGACAGAGAAAAGGGCGATTCAAATTAGAGGGTCTCTTAAATATAATGTGTCAGCAGTAATACAAGCGTTTGTTTAAAGGGTCCTGTTGGGGGAATTGTGAATGTTGTAGATTTATTCATGCAAGGAACATTCATTTATCCAATTTTGCTTCCTGAAACAAAACCCAACAAAGAAGTCTTCGCTCTCATTCGAGATATCTATCTCTGTATCAACCACTCTGTCTGATCCTATCTTGGCCTGAAATGTAACCTCTTTCCCCCCAGAGTCCCCTATCTGCGTCCCATAGGACAACTCCACGGCTAAGCTTTCCACGGTGAGCAAATCAGCCCCCAAACTCGAGCCATTTCGGAAAAGACTCTTTGGGATTAAAGACAGGTGTATATTGTCTTCTCTGGCGACGAATTCGGGGTCGCTGTGGTTTCAGAGAAACGTGAACACCGGCCCCGCGCAAGCAGTGGGCCCTGCCACTTGCCCACGGAACGGCGCGGCCGCCAGGTCGGCCTCCGGGCCACCCGCGCCCGCAGTCTGGGCGACTCCAGCCTTGTCGCCGGGAGCCCCAGCCCCCTGGCCCGACCTCTGCGGCCTCAGGCCGCAGCCCGCCGCTCTCGGACGCGCGGGTCACAGTGGGCCCCGCGCTCTGGGCTGAGTGCGCAACCACGCCACCCCTGGGAGAGCAGGGGGCGAGGGTCCTGCGCAACACGCGCGAGGCCCCTGGAGGCCGGGAGCAGCGGCGGCCGGGCTTGTCAGGAGCGCTGCAGCCACGCGGGGAGCTGAGAGGCTAGCCGGGAGCAGCCGCGCGCAGGGGGAGATGCGGGGCGTGCTCGCGTCACTCAGCCCGGCCGGCCAATGAGCGCGTCGCCCCGCGGCACGCCGAGCCAATCGGAGGCGAGGAAGTTTGTGAGTGGCATTAAGGGTGGGCGGGCGAGAGGGAGCCCGGGAGTGAAGTTGAAGCTAAACCCCGTGAGCTATAAAGAAGTTACAGGGGGGCGTTTTCGGCTTCCAATTAGGAATAATACTGGCTTCGTAGCAACTACCGAGGAGGAGGATTCTAAAACCACCTCACCCGTCCCAAAGACCGCATTCCCCTCCTTTTCCCACGCACCCCTCCCCCAATTCATGACCGAGAAAAGAAAAGGGAGCCGGGGCGCGCTCTGCTCCTCTCTGCCGGTGGGAAGCCGAGAGGCCGGCGGAGTTGGACGGTAGGCATGAGTACAATTAAGAGGTGGACGCCTCTGCACCCTTTGCAGTCAGCGGGGACTGAAGGTAGGTGAAGCGGAAGACACCTTGCGCCCGCCCAGAGGCACCCGCAGCTCTACGGCGGTGGGGGAGAGGCCAGGACGCCTCCCACCGCCCCCCTCTCCGTGCCTGCGAGGGGCTGTCGTGAATGTGCCACCTGTTAACCTGGCGCTACCGTGCCCGGCGTGTTGCCGCCCCCCCTGGGCAGGGAGAGCCCCGGGTCGCCTTGGGAGTCCCGAGGGACTTGATGTGTAAGCGCCACTTTTTGAGGAATCCTTGAGACTCGAGACCCAAGTTAGAAAGGTAGCCAAATTCCAGATCTGCCAAAGCGGGGGGACTGAAAGGCGGCCCCAGCGCTGTGGAGGAATTCTGATTTGCGGAAACCTGCTTTCCTGGGACGTGCGCCTGGCCTGGGCGCGGGCACGGGGACCAGCGACTGAGGGTCTTCTCAGGGTCTTCAAAAATATGCATTTTGTTGTTTGGGTAACTTCCCAGGGGGGCTGGAGAATGTGGCTGGCTTGGATGAGAGGATGCGAGCATTATTCGCAGGAGGCTCAGTCTCACTATTGATTCCTCCATTTCTTATAAAACAAACAAACAAACAAACAAACAAACAAACACACCCAGCCTGGACAGGCGCCTACCCGGCCGTTTTTCGGAATTCAGGCGAGTGCATGAGTGATTGCGGAGCTGCAGATCTCTTACGCTCTGATGCTGTTGTCTTCACAGTGGCCTGAAAGAGTTGTCCGGCATTCCCGTTCTTCCCAAAGGGGCTGGGAGCTGCCTCAAATGCCACGGGACTGAAGAGCAAACGTCGGGGATTATTATGTCGATTTTCCGGGGCCCGGGCTCCGTCGCGCGGAACAGAAGAAAAGCCTGGCTCCTCAGGGGTCCCGCCGGCATTTGATATCCAGAGACTCCTAGGATTGCCCCGATTGCGTGGATCAGCAACTTTCCTACACTCTCGTCCCGTATTTTTAAAGAAAAGTATTTTCTGTTCGCTGCGTTGGTCTTTTACTGCCATCAATACCCTGAAGCAAAGATTTCAGCCTCTTCATTCAAAGTATGCCTTATATTTTTGTCAAATATGATCTCTAATTGAAAGTTTATTTTTGCTTTTGGATGCATCTGTGGAGCTCATGTTGTAAGAAGAAAGGGGGAACGAGACACAATGAAAGAGAAGTCCAAAAATGCTGCCCGGACTAGGAGGGAGAAGGAAAACAGTGAATTTTATGAACTGGCCAAATTACTGCCTTTGCCCTCGGCTATCACCTCACAGCTGGACAAAGCATCCATAATCAGACTCACAACCAGCTATCTCAAAATGAGAGTAGTGTTCCCAGAAGGTAAGTGACTTTGCCCAGATGAAATTTCAAAGGCAGAAGGAGTAGAGATTTGCCAGTGAGTGAGCCTACACCACTGAACAGAGAAGTGCGGTCACACATGCATACATACTCTCTGCAAAGGGAAGTTTAGCATGGCTGCTTGACTGTGGACCTCTCTGAACTTAGAATTCCTGTTGCCTTTTTGTGGCTCTTTCTACTTCCCCATTAATACTTTCTCTCTAGTCCATCGGATATGTTTGGTTGGGAAGCAGCCCAACAGTGCTTTTGTCAACACTTCAGATACTGAGCTCGATTGAAAGTACAACTAATCCAAACATGACTTTCTTTTTTTATTCCTCTTGTTAGAATTGTATCTAGCAGAAAGCAGGAACATTGCCAAATTCTTCTATTTTTGCTACATATAGATAGACCCACGTACATGGAGCTAAGCCAGACAATAATTTCTCTATATGTTTACAATTATGCATTTGAGCACCAGGCATATTTGTGAACAACTATGTCCTGAATTTACCCAGTCTCTTGATTGTTTATAGCAAATTTAGTCTGGGTTTTGAGATATTCGCAGATTCTGAAACTAACTCTGGGGCTTGGTGATTTCCAACTCTGGGCTTGATATTATCTCTGAGATAATAGGCTAGGACCCAAACACATAAGGTTGAATTAAGAAGACTAGCCCGCTTAGAAAATATCTTCTAGGTGGAAGCTTGGCAAAACTGATCCTGGGAAAACTGTATTATAAGGCCCAGAAGGAAGAACAGCTGAGCTGGTCATGATTTAAAACATGTATTTAGATTATAAAGATTCACAGTGTGAGGACAGAGCAGCCTCCAAAGAACACTGTCCATTTATACTCACTAGGAAAAGGACACTTCCCTCTTCCATTTCCCCATCCTTTCCTTTACCCACATTCAAATAATATGAACAAATTTTAAAAAAATTTAGATGTGTCTTTGTCAGAGGAGAGAGATTGGGAAATACAAAGGGGAGAATCCTAAACAAACAAAACATTCCAAGAGAAAGAACCCTGTTTATTTACAAATCGGAATGTCTTATTTGACCCGCAGAGGTTTATGTTATTGTTGATTTGGGGTCCTTGGGGTTTGTTGTTTTCTTTTAAGGAAATAGGGGGAAGGAAATATAGTCATTATTGGGCTTGGAGTTTCACTTTGTTTGTTTTGACTAGAAGTTATTATCTGAATCAAAATCTTGCAAATCATGCTGACAAATTAGGAGCAGTAAAGGAAAACTTTCAAATCATAGTTCAGTTTTACCCCAAAACTACAAATAGTGTTATAGTTGTTGAACAATCTCAGTTGACCGTGGAAACCACAGGAGGAGAGGAATCAAAACCTAAAGTTCCTGAAAAGTTAAAGAAAAAGAAAGGAGGGGGAATTTATATACTAAAAACCATATTTCCCATTCAAACTGTGCTGAGAATTGCTAGTGGGAAAACTATTATGCCACACTGCCTTCTGTTTAAAAAAAAAAAAAAGAGATCTCCTTGTCTTTTATACTGTCAGCGCCTACTTTATAAAAATAAAGCTATTGCGAACTCGGCTGGCCGCGCTGTTCCTAACAGGATTATTAGCAGTGATTTGTCAGCCCCTGCGGTCTCAGTGGGCTCCCTTTCTGCGTGATTTCTAACGGGTCTCGTCAATTATCGGTGCCGAAGTCGCTCGCTGTTTGATCAGAAGAAGCATATGGTGTTGCTTGTGGGGCTGCGAGTAATCGCGGGAGGAGAATAGCGGGTCGGCGTTCAGGGCGGGCACCGGGAGAGGGATAGGAGCGCCCGGGGAGTCGCCGGGCCAGGGGCGCCCGTCTTTGTCGTGCAGACCCGGGCAGGCGCGGCCGCAGGGTATTGGGTTGGTTTCGGTTGTTTTGATTTTGTTTTCTAAGAGAGCAAGCTTTCTTGTTTACTTGAGTGCGAACTCCACAAATTATAAATCGCGTGATAAATAAGAGGAACAGAAAGTAAACTCTCTCAGCCAACTTCTCATTTGTAAAGAGAGCACTGGCGAAGACTCCCCCTGGAGTCCCCTTGGTGGCTGGGCTGATCCCCTGTGGCTACTTTAACCGCGACTGTGCTTTCTGCAGCCCCCGTTCACCTTCCTCCGGAGCCCCAGGCCCCTCCCTCTTCTCCCTTCCTCAGAGGCTAGTGTGAGTTTATGGGGAGGAGGGGATGGACGATGTGTGAACTCTGGGCACATCATTTATTTCTCCAGCTACTGTTGAGCTCATAACTCACCGGCAGCCTCCACCCGGTGAGTTAGACGGGGTCATCCGAACAGCTGGCTCCTAGAGATGAGGTTTTAGTGAGGATAGATTAGCTTAAAAAATCCAAAACCCAGACACAGCCCTTTAAAATATAAAACAATAACAACACACACACACACACACACACACACACACACACAAAACCCAACATCTTTCAAAGGAGTGATATAATCACAAACAGCAAAACCAGGCACAACCTGCAGAGGGTGCCAAATTTGGGTTCAGCTGTGGACTGAAGGAGGAGAGTAGACAAGATTGGGTCCATGGCAGTGGGGGGAAACTGAGCATTTTATGTAAAGGTTATCTTTTTGGTGATGAGAAATGGAAAGAATTTGTTTGCAGATGTAGTCCATTGTTACACCTATCTAGATGCCATTCCAGCACATAGTAGGTCTTAAATTTTGTCCTAAGGATGGAGTAAAGACAGCTCTTTCATCATGGTAAGCTTTCTGTCACATGTAACATGAATTTTTGCAATGTATATAATCTAAAATAATTATAAATCTGGTGACATCTTAGTTACAGGCACAACAATGACTATAAAACCCCACTGTTTCAGCTCAGATTACATTTCATCTATAATACCCTTTAATATCAAGAGGCTTAATCAACAAAGAGAAATCTTTCCATACTTATATTTGAAAAAATTTACAAAATATTCTTAAAATATAGCTAATTCTCCATCACTACATACAGTTTACCCCCCGGGTTCTGGTAGATTCTTTGGGCAAACTTCAGTTTTTACTTATCTGAGTAGATAAAACTGAGCTGTTGAAAGAAAGATGAAAGGAGGGGGTGGAAACAGAGGAATGGAATATGGGTACCTGAAATAATTAAAAATAAAGCATTAGATTGGAGACTTCATACTAAAAAAAAAAGAAAGGAAGATTACTGTGAAATCGTTAAAACTGTGTATCTTCCATTGGCAACATATCCTATTCTAAAATAGCCTTGCAAAGAAAAAACTTGAGGCATCTAGAAATGTATAAGTCTTTGGTGTTACCAAAGCCAGAAAGGCAGGATTAAAAAACAAAAAAAAAGATAGTGTGACTTCATGTGCAATATTGGACAAACTCAACTACAAAGTAATATATATTTGCTATCCAGATAGAATACAGTTTTGGCTAAGGGTGTAGTGGCTTGCTGAGTAACCTTTGAAAGGATCAGACATGTTTTCAAATCTATAACCATTCAGAATCTTGGTAACATCACACTGCCATATCATTGTCAAGATGTCTTGGGAAAATAAAAATAATCACAGAATTGAAATTAGTAACTGTGCAGGAAAGAGTCTCTACAAAGGCTGGAAGGACAAGGATGGTTAAACAAACCTCCACAGACCCTTTCTATAATATTCACCTCAAGACTGAAATCCTTAATCGCCTTATATTTTTTCGAGGCCGGGAACTGAAAGAGAAAAAGAGGCCCCATTTCCCACGTGGATGGATGATTTAAGGCTGTTTTTCTTGCTGCTCGGAGAAATGATTGAGCATTAGGTTTCCATGTTTATTTTCCTACAGAAGTTTTTCTCATTTAAAAGCCTTTAAGCCCAGTTTACCCTCCACGCTGGTTTTCTCTGTTTAATTCCAGTTTTGATGTTGACTTAAAATGTAGAGTGCAGAACTAAACTCTGCACAGAGCATTTGCAAGGCAGATTTATGTGCTAGAAATTGTAGATCAGATCAATGAAAAAACACTTTTCTTTCTTTAAAGGGAACGATCACTAATAAAAACAATACAGCAAAACAATCCCGTAAGCTATAGCGGGATGCTTTTAAGCAGGCTACAATCACATACTTTAAGTTAAAATCGGGTTAAATTTCCAGAGGACAAACGTATTTTCTAGAAGAGTTATTTTTCAATCCTGGGGAAATCCTGGCACCTTGGAGCTTTTGCTGACACAAAAGTGGACACAATTCGAACCCATGGATGATTGCCGCACCTCTCTATATCGGCACAGATATTTCTCAAGAGAATGAGGTTTAGACGCAACTAACACCTTATGCTTTTAGCTGTCCACCCATTGCCAGTCTCGGATTTATGGAGTTTTAAATTTTGCGTGGGGGAAGGGAACCCTCAAGGATTTAGCAATGGGCCTGCTAATTAGAAAGTACTAAAACAGTGTTTGAGAAGTGCGGGACAAACTTTCTTCGGGTAGTCCCATCCTGGAGGCGGGTCCTCCAGCGCGGAGTCGCTCTACCTCGGTGGTGCGCTCGGGAGCAGAGACCGAAACCTTACAGAAGACTCCACCGCGCTTCTGGTACGCACCAAAGCACGCAGCGGGGAGAAGCACGTTATCATGCTGCCCGCAGGCCAAGCCCGCGCGGTGCGGCTCATTCTGTCCCAGCCGCGGGTGGCTTTAGCTGAGGGTGCGCCAGTTCGAGGTCCCCGCATGGTCCAGACCAGGTCTCTGCTCTCCCAAGGTTCAAGGACGTCTCAGCGAGCCTACCCCAAGCAGAAGCTGGGCCGGTGCGGGCGTGTGCCCTCCGTCATTAGTGCTACCTGGGCCACTGCTCCAAGGACCGGCCGTTGTTTAAACCTGAAGCCGAGATCCTGCCCGAGCCCGCAGCCAAATAGAACGCGGGCGGCAGATCCCTGCGCAGCGGGGTTTTCGCGTCCGTCCACCTGCGCCTGCCTTTGGGCTCTGGCATTGCCCCTCCCGGCCACTTTTGAAGACCTGGATCCCTGGGGCGACACCGCTTGACGTTTTTCAGCGTCATGCAAGGCACTGCTGTCAAACCCGCGTCCATTTTCGTCCCACGGTTTAGTTGGGACCAGGCTGGAACACACCTGTCCCTCGTTACTGCTGTTCCTGTTCTTTTCGCTGCAGGCCAGACGCCGACAGCTTGGCTGGCCTGCTCGCTCCCGACCTGGAAGCCTAGCTCCAGCGCCAAAGCACAGCGAGGGTGCAGAGTCAGTGTTGTGACCATCATTCTCCACCCCAGATTTAGTACTAACATTAGTGGATTTCCCGGGTGCGGCCAGGGGCACACAGGGGAGAGAAGAGCCCACACTGCCACTGTGGAGTGCAGACACACGGGAGTGCAGGGGTCTGGGCTGCTGCGCGGGACAAAGCTAGGTCCCGCGCAGCGTTCGACACCATCACGAGGTCCGCCGCACCCGCTAGGTGGCTGGAGAGGGCCTTGAGCGGGGAGGGCCACAGCGCCCACAGTGGACGCGAGAAGCAGCCTCCTACTCAGGGACCGGTCCAGGCGCGCTGTCTAGTCTAAGGGCGACCAATCTCCGTCCCTCTCTTCCTCAGAGCCTCTGAGGCCGCCAGGCCCCTAACACGAAGGCTGTTAGGTTGCTGGACAGGTGCGGTGGGGGGAGGTTTGGACAACATGCCCTCAGCGAGGACCCACTGGCCTTGCGGAAAACCCAAGCGACTGAACAATCCCCTCTGGGACCCGAAGAGGGCTTTTCCCACCTCAGTCACCAAGTTGTGGTCAGATCCCGGGACTGCTCTTCCAGCCCCACTCCCACCCACCCTCGTATTGCCTAAAAGGTATATTGCAGTCTGTCAGTCGGACGAACCTTTCTGGGGACTACTACAAGGGGGACACATTTCTATTGAGATAGAGTGTTTATTTATTAAAGGGGGGGGAAGAACAGTGGAACAACCCCTTCTCTTCCTCCTCTTCCTGTCTGACTGAAAGAGGCGATGATGCCAGGTCTGTAATCTATATTTTGTCAAGGGTATGAAACTCATTCCGAAGGAAATGCTCGATCAATTTATTTTTGCTGCTTGTAATAACACAGCTGGATGATGCTTTGAGCTCAGGCTAGACTGGGGCTCATCATTCATTCGCCAAGAACGGGCCTAAATTGTGCCTGTGGGATTAGGTCAATTTTAGTGGATCTACTTCGCCTCATTTGGTTACTAATTGGTTTCTTGTTTTATAAATCGAAATCTCATTTTCAGGAAATTACAAAACCCGTGCAGTCAGTCCATTGAGGTAATCCTTGGGTCAGGGGGTATTTAAATGGAAATGGCTCAACCGCGCACTGAGGGTAAGAGTGAAACTTCGCCCGGGTTTTCACATGAAATGTGAGCTAGCCCTTTAGATCCATAATAGATACATCCCTTCTAATGCTACTTATGTAAATATGATAAACCAGACTTTAAGGGAAGGGGGGGCGGGGAGAAGCAAAATTTATCTGCTAAGGTTAATGTGGCATATCTTGGAAATCTTCCAAAATAGATTATGTTTTCCTTTGTCTTCGGCCACTTTAGCTGGGGAAAATCCTTTTGTCTAAAACCCGATTTAGTTATCGCCTCCCTCACAGAGCTCCTTTTCTCCTTTGCAAAACCCCGTTCCCTCGGCCTCACCGAATTACAAGAGAATCTTTAGATCTTGTTCCCACTGTAATCCTGCCGCAAAGGGAGCTGGTTTCCTCCTCATTTTAAACAGACAATCAAAGGATTTGTGAATTTTCTGCGGTAGGTCAAGTGCAGAAACGAAATCTCCGCTTACCCCCCTCGCCAACTGAAATTGGGCGCGGGAGCGCGTCACCGCAGGCCGGAGGTGACGGTTCCGGGGAGAGGGGTCTCTGGCCCACTCCAGGATTTTCGGGAGGCGGAACCCTTGACCGGGGCTACAGAAGGTGTCCTGGACAGGCTGAAGGGCGAGCTCAGCCCTAGGATTAGGTCAGGAAAGCCTGGCAGGTAGACGAAGGCAGCCAGTGCCTTATAAAACATTAACCCAGACAAAACCGTGTGACGGAGATTTCAACCGAGAACGTAGAGAAGGCAATGCTCCGTGAAAGCAAAAGGTTCCTTAAAAGGTGTGGGGGTGGGGGCAGGAGAGGGCGAGGGCGGCCCTTAGTAACCTGCGCCAGGCCGGCTGTTTATTAACCTGCTGGGAAGTCTTATTTTTCCCCGGTAGGCGCATACTAATGAGGCCGCAACCTGAGACAACAAACAGCCGAGGCTGGCGCTGGGGGTTCGGAACCAATACTTAACCCCGAGCCCAGCTCGGGGACTGTCAGATGATTCGGGTCGGAAGGCCGTTCCCGGGCTGTTTCTAGCCGATTTGGGAGGACTTCATAATTTTAGAATAAGGGCATTTGTTGGCCCCAAGCGCAGGCTTCGCACCCTTCTGGAAGACAAGATTCCAGACGCAAGGAGGCCTCGGCCAGCTCCCAGCGGGCGGGAGCGCCCCGACCCTCCGCCCCCGCAAAGCTTGGCCCTTTCAGGCCTCGGCCGGGCCGGGTGTCCACGGGCCAGCGCCACCCGCGTCCCTAGCTCTCCCAGCAGCATCCTATCCCCCTTCCCCGGTTTGGCTCTCCCCAACCAAACCAATCCCCCCACCCCCGCCACTTCTGGGTGGGTATGTGTGAGCTGCAATGAAAAAATGACCGACCGCGCGGTGCCCGAAACCCGGAAGGAGGATAGCTTGGCCGAGACCCGAGGAGCGAAGGGAAGGTGACAAGGCGAAGGGGTGTGTACAGGTGGCTGTGTCGGAGGCCCTCCCGAACAATCCAGAAGGACCAAAGCGATTAGGGCAGTGGAGTCACTCCAGGGAGGGAGGCTAGGGCGGGCTAAAAGAGGCAGGGGGGATTGACTAGAGGCGAGGGAGGGAGAGGAGTGCAGCCGCGGGCGGGGAGCATCAGTGTTTGCAGAGCGGTGGGGAAATCGTTAGATTTATTTAGATGTGCAAACATCCAGAAAGACCCGATTCGAGCTTAAGGGGCGCTCATGGTTACTCGTTACCAGGGTTTTGATCGCTTGCTTTGGAAGCAGCTCCTGGCCAACACATTTTAAGAGTCCAACTCCATGTTTTATTCTGAAAGATCCGCCCTCACCCCCATATTACAATGCGAGCGTGTTTGTCATTGTGTACTTCATAGTGATTCGTACTTTAAAGCAGTAAATCAGTAAATCACACCCCCTTTGTCATGTTAAACCTTGTTTAATGGTGTAAAAGAGTTTACCCAGTTAAATTAATTTCAGCAGCAACACTTTTAAAAAATATTACCTGTAAGTAGTTATGGGTAGTACAACCTCTTCCTCAAGTTTCTTCTGCCTTATTATTTTTTTCTTTCTGCAAACATGTACTATAGCAGACTCCCTTTTAGTTTTGTTTTTTTTTTTAATCAGCTACGGGTATCCAGAGAATATTATTTAAAAAGGTTTTTTTTTTCCAGAGAATTTTCTTTTTTAGGCATCACTAGGAGAAATTTCTGGCAAAGCCTGGAAAGATCTCGACGTGGTAACATCGAGGAGAGGAAGGGGCTGTCTTTGTTAATAGATGATACTTTTGTTAATAGAAGATACGTGGAGACTAGAGAAACTGAACGGTTCTCTATATCCAAAAGGAAACGAAAATATTGCCAAGATGGTGTTCGCACCTGAAAGTAAACTTCAAAAAAAAAAAAAAAGCCTACACTGTTTTGTTTTTGTTTCGTTTTGTTTTGTTTTGAGGGGCGAGGTTAGGTAGGGTGTGTAAGACTAGGGGTAGTGGGGAGGAAGCAGAGGAATAAGCATTGCTCAGGGATGTAGGTGCTGGAAGCCATCCACAAGCAAACGGATTTCTCCGAAGGGGATTAAAGGCAGAGGCCTAGGGGAGGTAACTGGCTGGAGAGCCCCGCAGCCAAAGAGAAAGAAAGCCCAAGGACCAGCTGGACTCAGTTCACAGCCTCAGGTATTCGCCGCGGCATTCGCTGGAGGCGTGGACATCTTCGGCCTCGTGATAAGGCAGATAATGAAGCTTGGGGGAGAAATAGTCCCTCCCCCCGCTAAGCACAGTGGTGAACTTTCGCAAAAGTTACCGTTCGGGTGCCTTCGGCCCTTGCAAGGCACACACAGGCCGTCCTCAAACCCCGCCACTTGAGGTACAGCCAAGAGGGGTGCTCAGCCAGGGCTCTGCCCTCCCTGAGAAGCTCTCACCCGCCCCCCCGAGAGGGCGTCTGACCTCTACGCAGTCCTTTTAAAAGCAGAGAGGGAGGGGCCGAAATTCACAGGCTCGCATCCTAGGCAGTAGTGGTGCCCGGAACTCCGACGGTATCCAGTGGTGCGCGCGAACTTGCGTGCGTGCCATAACCGCGGCACTAGTCTCAAACTGCTAGCCAGGTCGGAGTCCCATCGCTAAAGGGTGTCTCTGTGTCTCCACAGGGCTCGGCGAGGCGTGGGGCCACTCGAGTCGCACCAGCCCCCTGGACAACGTAGGCAGAGAACTGGGCTCCCATCTGCTCCAGGTACCCGCGCGGCGGCACATAAGCTTCGAGGGCTCAGGTGCCTGGCCCCGCGCTGGGCTTCTTGTTTCTTAGGAAAATAGGATCAGGCCCAGACGTAGCCTTCTCGCAGCCCCTACAGCCCCTTGAAAATTAAAACGCTGAGCTCTTAACCTCGTTGGGTGCAGATGGCGCCTCTCGAGGCGGAGAGGGAGGCAAGGTGAATTGGCACGTTGGCTTTAGAGGGGAGTCCGGCAAGGCCCCAAATCAGGACGGCCGTCTCGAGGGAGGGGGCGCCATTTGACACCATTCGGTTGAGAGAACCGAAGCGCGCCGGCCCGGCTGCAAAACAGCCAGAAATGAAGGATTTACACAGGAATAACGGGAATCTAGTAGAAATGCCCATCAGTGCTTTAAGCGCACACATTCCAGAGCCAGCTGCGTGTGCAGCTCTTTTCATGTTCTCCCTGTAGTTCGCGGGCTCTCCCCTGTCTCTCTATGAGCTCTCACCCCATGCCAGCCCAGCCCAGCGCGTGTACAGACCCTCGCGTACACACATAACACCTCCCCAGGTAATGAGTTTACCCAGGGCGGAGGCACCCATTACCGCGTTGTTTGCAGTGCGCCCCGTTTTAAATTGCCCGTTGCCCGCTTAAGTCGCATAGCAAATATTTAAAATAGCAAAACTCCCGGTGGCATTTTTAGGCTTGACACTTGTCTCCCACCTTCCACCCCCTTATTATTATCCTTGTCCGACCCCCCCCCCCCCAGATCCTCTTGTGGCAGCCTCAAACCTAAGCAGCATGGCGGGGGAATCTGAGTTAATTCTTCCTCCTGGGCCAGACAGGACCAGCATCCCATGGCAGAAGTGCTGTGGCCTTCCCTGTCCCATGGCTACCTTGTCCCTCCCTCAGTGCCTGAAGCCAAAGAGATTTTAGTGTCACAGAGCAAAGAAAGGCCTGTGTAAGCATTCCCTCATAGGCCTGGTCTTCATACATCTGAATTCAAATAGAAAGGCATCATCACTCTCCTTTCTCAGGGACACTTTTCATCAGTTGTCTCTCAGCAATGCTCTCCCTGCCCCCAATCTTTCCATACTCCCAGCTGACTTTCCTCATCCATATAAACAAGAGAACAAAACCCAAACAATCTTTCTCTCCTCCTGGCTCTTGCCCAGTCTTCTTCCTCTTCTTCATCCCAAACTTCTGGAAGAATTTCATTACCCTCTCAATTTCCATCATTCACCCTGCTGCCCTCACTTCCACACCACTGCCGTCTGGCATCTCTCCTAACTGTTGTGCTCTGTACAGGCTCCACCACATTTTGATATCCAGCATAAGATGCGCATCTCTTATCCTACCTGACTTTGTTCATTGCACAAATATAGTAGGGCCAACTGTGTGCCAGACAGAAAGCCTTGCCCCCATGGAGTTCACATTCTAAGGAGAGCAGCCTTGCAAACCCACATAGGTACATTACATAGTATAACAGGTGGTGTAGGTGCTATGGAGACAAATAAGAAGGGGGAGGGTGGGGACTGTGGGTAGTGCCACTTAAAATGGGGACGTTGCAGAGGACTTCACTGAGAAGGTGACATTTGGGTAAATACCTGACAGGGTGGCACTGCTTACTTGACATTCACCCTCTCTCCTTCAGTTTCTAAAGTAGCGCAACTTCCTGGATTCTTCTCCTTCTCTACTTGCTCCTCTGTTTTGCCTACTGGTGTCTGGCTGTAAATGTTGGTATTCCTCCAAGGTTCCACCTCTGTTTCTCCTCTCACGGCTTCAGGGCCTCATGGGTGATCTGGGCCAACACCACAACCTCAACTTCATTCCTACATTTGCATGACTCCAGCTGGTTTCTCCAGTCTAGACACCCTTCTGAAGCTTCAGACTTATTTCCTACTGCCAACTGGAAATCTGCATATACCTGAAGTTTAGCATCTCCAAGACAAGAATTAATTACCTCCCTCCTCCAGACTTCCACTCCTACAAAAACTCACAACGCTTCCCTAAATTTTCAGTCTTGGCTAATGCTCTTACCCTCTACTCAATGACCTTGAAGTCACTCTCAGCTTCTCTCTCTGCCACCATAAACTCCACAGCTAGAACCATCTTTGACTTAAACTCTCCCTCTTCCTCATCACCCTGTGACCACCCAAGTTTAGGCTCAACCATCTCTGATCTCTTCATCCCACTTTTTCCTCCTGTAGGTCATTGTTCACATTCTACCACTGAAAAACAAAACAAAACAAAACAAAAAACAACGCACACACACACACAGACACACACACATTTAAACATGATATTTCTTTGCTTAGAAACTGCTGGAACGCTGATGCCTATAGGAGCATCTCCGAATTCTTCTGATTGATATCTCAAACTCTCCAAAAACCCAGCATCAGTGTACTTTCTCAGCCTATCTTTGGCACACCAAATTCGTTGAGCCTGAGTACACCAGATGTACCCTACCCCCCACCAGTCCCTGCCTTTGCCACGTCATTCCTTCTGCCTAGGATTCCTTTCCTCCCATCTCCAGTTCAAGCTTCCTCTTCAATGTTCTGCTCAAACCGGTCCTCTGAGGCCTCTGATTCTCCTCCAGGCCTCTGGGCCCCCACAGCACTGTCCACTCAGCTCTGCGGTCATTATATCTGTCTTTAGCCAGTCTCTGCCGCTGGACTTCCAGCAACTTGAGAGCAGGATCTGACTCATCCTTATGTCTCCACTGCCTGGACTGAAGCCTCATTCACAGAGATAAAGCGACAGTGAAAGTCTAAGATTTTCTTTCATGGAAAGCCTGTCAGTTTGATGCATCAGTGAAACACACACATCTACACACTATGGAACTACTCTGTGGACTTGCTACCCAGAAAATTTTCATTTCCTAACCCTGCCTCTCCCAGATTCTTTCTGGAGCTACTGGCCAGCTGCCTTCTGTCTAAAAACTTTTCAGACTACCAACACTTCCATATGGCTCAGTGCCCCTTTCCTAAACCCTGCAGGTACTCTTTCCATTATAGGATGCCACCACTATGGAGTCCTCCAAGACCGACTCAGGAAACTATTCTTTCTTTCAGGGACCATCAGCCCAAGAACTTAACCTACCTCTTATAATGGGCTGTGATCCTCTGCCCCCTATATTTGTGTGTGTATGCTACAGATATATGTCTGTATTGTCCATTTCAGTGGGTCATGAGTCTTGGAGGGCAGTACCCTTGCCCACCACTTTCTCTGGGTGTCTCCCAGTGTGCTGCATGTCCCAGATGCTTACATATTTGGAATGAACAAAAGAGGGGCTCTTGTGGCATATTTTCTATGCCCTATTTCCTGTCTGCTTCTCTCTACTCCATGTCTCTGTTCTTCTGGCTGAACATCTCTGACTTCTGCCCCCTACCCCAGTTTCTTCCCACAGAGGGCTCTCCATTCAACTCTGTTTCTATCTCCCCAGACCCTGGATGGCTTCATCTTTGTGGTGGCCCCAGATGGGAAGATCATGTACATCTCAGAGACAGCCTCAGTCCACCTGGGTCTTTCTCAGGTAGGTGAGTGGTCCACACCTCCAGCCTTCAATGCTTACAGCCAGAGCTGGAGGCCAGAGGTAAGGGGGTGGTGGTTCCCCAAAGCTTTTGTATGTGCATTTCTGGGACTGGAAATATCTCAGCTGGCAGGTCTGCTTCTCTCTTTTCCTCTACTTCCCTTATCCTTTGGCTTCCACCCTGAGCCCAAACAATGCTGTCTTTTGGAGTCTACCATAAGTCAAACACCATGGATGGTAGTTACATACCAATGCCTGATGTTTTTACCAGAACATTGCCGGGAAACTACGACTGTTCCTACTACCATTATAATTACTATTATATTATTATTTCCTCTCATAGATGAGGAAACCTAGCTTAGACTGCAGTAAGTAGCCAGCAGCAGAACTGGAATTAATACTCAGGGCTGACTCTAAAGTTCTGGCTCCTGTCCTCACAGGCCTGTAGACAGCCTGGTCCAATCTTCCAGCCCCACAAGGGTTGGAGAAGGTGATACCCCCCTCTTTACAGGTAGAGCTGACTGGGAACAGCATTTATGAATACATCCACCCAGCCGACCACGACGAGATGACCGCGGTGCTTACAGCTCATCAACCCTACCACTCTCACTTCGTCCAGGGTAAGGCAGTTGCTCGCCTGCACTACTTGGGTCCCTCGCTGCCACCGTCATTTGCTTCTGGCTTTTCCCCAATTAGCCAAGGTGGGACCTGGAGTCACACCAGCCGTCTCACATCCTTCGCCTCCCTCCTCCCCTCTCTCCCAGAATACGAGATCGAGCGCTCCTTCTTCCTCAGAATGAAGTGCGTCTTGGCCAAGAGGAACGCGGGCCTCACCTGCGGTGGTTACAAGGTGTGTGGCTGAGAGGGATGATCCTAGCAGCGTGTGGGGGAAAGTAGCAGAACCAGAGGAACTCGAGGGCGTGGGAGGGACATTTCTGAGTCCCTGACTGCCCCGAGGGCGTCCTCTGCAGGCATCAAAGCTCTGTCTGCCTGGGAGCACCTCAAGAGTTGTTGAACTTCCTGAACACTTGGGGACTACTATGTTTTAAGACTTGGTTTCACTATCTGGGATACTGCTGGGCTGCAGGGACTCTTAATCTGGGGCTCATAATGGACCTTAGGGCTGTGTAAAACGTCTGAAATGGTCGGTAATTTTGGCGGATTCTTAGAGTTTACTCACAGCATCAGATTCCAACCCCCAGAGGGGTTAAGAACCAGAGCTTTAGCTCCAATTCAGGTTCCAGGGCCCCATGGGCAATTTTGATGAGTTAATGATGGCAAGGCCCATGCCTCTGTATTTTTACAAGCTCCCAGGTGAGTTCAGTGTGGCAGGATAGACATTCCTTGAGACACTTTGGAACACCAATAACTTTGGACAACTCAGTGCAGGGGCGTGGCCCGCATGGCGGTTTGTGGCTCAAGGGAGTCACAAAATGTTTCAATCGCTTACCCACCTTTTTGGGATGTTTCCTGGCGGTGGCTGAGTCTCACCCCTTCATCCTCCTCTGCAGGTCATTCACTGCAGCGGCTACCTGAAGATCCGCCAATACAGCTTGGACATGTCCCCCTTCGATGGCTGCTACCAGAACGTGGGCCTGGTGGCTGTGGGCCACTCGCTGCCTCCCAGTGCCGTCACGGAGATCAAGCTGCACAGCAACATGTTCATGTTCCGCGCCAGCCTGGACATGAAGCTCATCTTCCTGGACTCCAGGTGGGTGGTCAGGTGGGAAAGGATCACCCTAGCAGGAGGATGGCCCTGCTCGGTGACCGAGAGCTCTTCCTCGACCTTCTGAGCCCATTTTGCAGATGAGGTGAAGTGAGGGCGGGCACCCAGCCTGAGAGGACCGTGTGGGGTGGGGGGGCATCCCCGCATCCTGCGCTCATCCCTCGAGGATTGCTCTCCCCAGAGTGGCGGAGCTGACGGGGTACGAACCTCAGGACCTAATTGAGAAGACGTTGTACCACCACGTGCACGGCTGTGACACCTTCCACCTGCGCTGCGCCCACCACCTGCGTAAGGCGCCACTCTTCCCGGCACAGGACGTCCCTCGCGCGGCCTGGGGAGGGGAAAGGGCGTGATTTACGTCCACAGTAAGCGGTCGGGGAGGAGCCCTGGTAGCCGGGTGGTGGTGGTAGGTGACGCCCTTCCCTGTGGCTGCTCCAACACTGAGCCCCACCTTGTTTCCTTAATATCCGCAGGGAGAGTTTCTGAGTTTCTGGGGAAATTCCCCCAGGAGGGGTTTTATGCTCCCCACCTCCCACCCTCTGCAAGCCTCACTGAACATGGGAACAAAAACTGAGGCTAGGCCGGCCATTTGGCTCATATGCACAGACCTGCTTCAGCTTTTTTTTTTTTTTTTT